CAGCTGATGTTCATTAGCGTCTTTGCCCAAACCAATGTTACGCTTCATTTAATAAATGTGTAAATCTTGAGCCAAAAGTATGAACAATTTGTAGTTTAATGAAATGTATTTGTTATTAGAAACATACCTTGAGAAAGTGCTCAAGGCTCACCCCTGCGGTGCCAGAGGCTATATTTTTCTCTTCTTGGCTTTGGTTCTTTTCTACCAAACAATTTAATAAAGAGTGTTTGGAGTTGATATGCTAACGTCATTAGGTTTTATGCCTATTTGTGTTACAACCACTACAGACACCCTAAACACCCATTTACGTCAAACTCAAATGTGCTTGGAGGAGTTCTCACCTTAACACAAGATCCAACAGTCACATCTGCTATATTTCATTTCACTGGCATCACTCAACCCCCATTAACAATACTATACGATATTATGTACTTAACATAAAATATGCTGCTTAACTATGTAACATCTGTAACTTTATTCAAATTTAATTAATTCAGTACATACAATATAAAGAATTTAATTTGAAAAATGAAATTCAAAACAATATAAATTTCAGCCTTTTTAGACTAAGATGACAGAGGAACTAATTATACCCTCCATAAACATTTACATTTACATTAACAAGTAAAATCATGTAAACATATTTTTACATATTAGAGGAATTACTTTAATGTAGCTCAGTGCAATCAAAGACAAGACAGAAAACATATATAAAGCATTGTGTCTGGGCAGACGGAGAAAAACAGCTGTGTCTGTGAGTATTCTTTAATCCTGACACCTGCAAACCATTTCTGCATGATTTACAGTGGGGGAAATACTGTCCAGGGGCAGAGGCCACCAGAGGAATTGTTTTCACAACTGATGGAGAACACACTGTTGTTTCTTCCAGGCTTGGCATTTGTAGCTTGTTGTCCACTGACATATGGGGAGTGTTTCATTTGAGAGGATTATGTACGTACTTAAGTGTTAGGCTGATCCAACTGAAGATCCAGGACACAGAAAGAAAAAACTAAAACACAAGTATGTATACTGCAGTATACACACTGTGACATTTTGATATTTTTATCACCAAATTAATAAACTCAATCACCAATTTTAGCATTTTATATATTTATAAAGGCTTATAAACCACAAGTACATCACATTAGCAGGGATGTAATTTTTTGTTGTCTTGGTGAAAGTACTCCCATCTCTCCTCTCTGGTTCACACAGTTTCATGTGCCCAGGTCCGTTGTGCACATGACATATTTTAGACATCTCTGTCTGTATTGGCAAGGCAGTGCTCCCCTGTGTCTCTGAGCATTTCTTTTGTTGCAGACCACACAGAGGGATGACATGTTGGAGGCACATCCCAGCTGGGTGGCCTGGCTGCAGGGCCCATGCAGCTGACAAGATCAGGCCTCAGCCCACTGTGGAGGTAATGCGTGCAGACAGTCTTGAACCAGTTTTAAGAAACATTCAAAAAAGAGCAGCTCTGGCATTTCTGAATAAATGCATTTATAAACTATATTGAAAAAGATCTATGGGAGCCTTGTTTCAGTTGGACTGGTGTTAACAGACCCTCAAAGAGCCACTAATGGTCTCAAACATCTCCTGTGTTCTCTGCTGTGCTGCAAGTGATTTTTTCTGGTTTTGAGTTATTGCCACATTTTAAAATGTTGCTTGCCGTACTGATATATTCAATCTTTTTGTCCCTTTGTTTATTCAGATTTACCTTGAAGAAGACATATTGTGCTTAAACCATAACAAATGTAGATTGCTATTTTACAAAATTTTCTGCTTTACACTGCAATATTGATAGAAAATTGGGTTCCTTTCAAAACTGGATAGGTTCTGTCTCATCAAGTGCATTTCACCATAAATTTTCATTCAGGTATGTTTATTTTTGAATGCCACATATTCAGTACCTTACATTTATGACATAGAGTCTGATTTATTTTTTAATCATTTGAATAAACTGTTCAAAACTGGTGCAAGGTGCAAACAGATTTTTTTGTGCTCCCAGCCTTGACTGCAGGACAATACAGAATTACTCAAACAGAAATCAACTGAAATGTTATTACAAGGTTAAAAGTTTTTTTTTTTTTTTTTGTAATAATACCTCCCATTTAAGTGATGTTCCCAGATGTCTCCAAGGACACAAAACAACAAATTTAAAATTTGCCAGTATTTTGTGTTTTTTTTCTTCTTCTTCTTCTTTTTTTGCTAATATCAAACCTAATTAATGGAGTACTATCAGCAAGGATATGCAACTTAAAACATATATCTCAGTCAAATTCCTTCCTTCCTTTAGGCATAAAGCATTTAGTGTACCAATGTGGTACATTTTGCACACTGTACCAATGTGGTACAATCATTTTGCTTTATACACAACATAGATTCCTTACTACAGTGATAATATCACTGTAACCACATTAGAAAAACACATTGTTTTTACATAATCCTCATAAAGTGACCATCATTGAAGTGGCATTTGTGTGAAGTTCAAGGAGGTCTTCAAAATGGAGATCACCTCTTTCCTGATAATCACCTTGTAGCATTTAACACATATTTAACAAAACAAATGGCCCCCGGGTGTAACTGAGTGTGTGAATAAGCATGGTGGGAATGATCCTGCTGGACTTTGTCAAAGACTGGAGGCATGAGACGTAGAAAAAAATAGATCAAAAGTGTCATCACAAGCCCCAAATCAGAACAACTCAACAGCCTCTGCATTCTTCTCCTAGATAAAAGATGGCACAGTTGGTAAATGTTTATTTTGTGTCTTTATCTCTTCTTAACAACAGCTTTTGATGAGAATATTCTGTTGCCTTTTCCTTTGTTACACTTTACACAAAAAGGTAAACACATGCTCTATAAATTAGGAACTTAAAATCCATATGTTTTTCCCCTAAAGTGTTGAGATAAAGTGAGTCATTTTTGTCCCGAGAGAAACAGAATCAACCTGAAACTCCTACACCCCCGACTGTCAGAGAATATGGGCAGACAAAACATTAATAACATGAGAGGGAAATATGAGGGGGATAGCCTTACACTTGATAATGGCACTCAAATAAAGGGCAGCCTATAATGTATAACAGCTCTATTGTTGAGGTGCAACAAAGAGGGAAGTCTTCAGAGCTTGGGCCAGGGAGTTTGGACATACGGCTACCTCGTAAAACTTCACTGCCATATACATGGTTTAGTATGTCAGAATGGAATAAAGCTTGTTAACTGGCTCTATAGGAGAGGGCGGCGATTAAAGCATTCAAATGAATCTGCTGTCAACAGGCTGATAAAGACACAATCCCAGGCTGTTGGAGCGGCTGGGTCCCTGGGCACCAGTAGGCGGTCAGGTGGTCCCCTGCTAGCCACCGCAATGCTATTGTGGGCAGCAAAAGCTGTATGACTGATGCAACAAAAGAGAAGACATTGATCTTCCCGGACAACTTTTTCTCAAGGCTCTGAGTGTGTAACTGAAATGAGCAGACCGCAACTAAGCTCTACCTTTAAAAAATATCACTTAATCCAAAACTGCAGCAGCAGAGAGAGCTGAGCTCTACAGTCTATAGCCGCAACCAAAACATGGGCCTCATAGGCTTGTAAGATCCAAGATGATTGAAGCGTGTGTGCTTAATTGATAACAACCAAGAATCCCAATGTAGAACATGCAGAAAAGAGAAGAGAGATTTGGGGAAAATATTTAAAACTATATTCATTATGTGTGAGCAAGTTGAGCTGTGACAGATGTGGCATTTCTACTGCACCCTTGAGCTTGTTACTGCAGCTCACTTATCACAGCACAATTCAATTGCACCAATAAAACAATCCAGCTGCATAAACATGTTAGTGAATGTGTGAAATTCAAAACAGAGTGCATCTTTAATGCTCTCTGGGTAACATGCACCACAAAAGGGGCCAATAAATCATTTGAAAATGGTGTAATGATTTAGGACCTCATTGTGTCCCACTCTCATGTGGCACCAAGCTGGGTCGAGGTGTCACGTTCTCACATGTCCATTACTGTAAAGCTCACTCTCCCAAATGGCAGAATGGGAGGCCCATTTGGGGCAGGGGTGAGCTGTGTCAGTGAAACCAGCTCAGAGGCACACAGGCCTTACACCTGTGTGCGACACTGGGGAGGACTAAGCTCCAAGTGAGAGAGTGACCAGCTGTGCTCCCTTGTGGTAGCTCAAGGAATAGCCCGGAATATGTCGAATCCAAAAAGTGGAGGCAACAAAAGCCACTCTATAATTCTCCTAACTGATGTAAAAACTCTTTACAACTTCCTAAACTCACATGTTGCTGTGAATCAGATGTAAGTGGTGCCTAACAGCGACTAGTGTTGTGTTCTGAGATGACATCACTATGGGAGCGTGGGACTGATGTGTCCCACGGCAGAGGGGTGTAATTGCTGACTAAATGAGCGTCTCTCTGGGGTGGCCGAGCTGCCAGTCAGCGCAGGTCTGCTCAATGTCCCACTTACAGTGGCAGTGCCTCCCTGGACACCGCTCATCAGTACTGATTACTGCAGACACTCGGGTGATCACCTGACATTAGGCAGACGAGGCTGTCCATGAAGAAACATGCCCCACTGAAGGCCCCAGGAGCGACTGCTCTCTCTGTCTATCTGAACTGTTGGATTTAGAGCAGAACAATTTGTGTTGTAAGCTTTATAGATATGTAGTTTTATTCATATAAAATAGTATCATTTAGATCTTATTTGTTTATTTTAAACACATGAAATGCCTTGATCCATCTGTTTGCAATCGCAGCATAATGCTATCGTCACCTGTTCCCATGGTCCTCCTGCTCACATCTGGGCTGCATTAACTGAAGAAAAAAAAAAAAAAAAACACTCACAAGGTGCATTTTGTCTCCTCTCTGTGCATAAGCAGCTCATGACTGTGCCTCACAAGATAAAGATGACCATAAAGGTATTTTGCAAGCCTCCCACAAAAAGCCCAAAACAAAACAAAACAAAAAAAAACATAATTCATACATTGTCAAAGTAACATGGACCCTGGTGCAGTTTGTTGCTGCTCACTTGAATCCTCAAAGACAACTTATTTTTCTACGATTTATATTGACGGAAAGTGCCTACATGCGTCTTGCCAATCCTCACCCGTGAGTACAATTTTTATGTGTCTGCAGCTGGTGGCCGCTGCAAACCAAAGCTTTCAGTCAATATAGAATTTTAACACTATTCTTCAAAGTGCATCAAAGGGCGTACTGTATTAATGCCATACAACCGGATCTGTGTTATCACTGTGAATTATGCAGAAGATGGACACTGGCACAAAAACATATATATATATATATATATATATATATATATATATATATATATATATATATATATATATATATATATATATATATATATATATATATATATACACACACACACACACACACACACACATACATATATATGTGTATATGTATATATATATATATATATATATATATATATATATATATATATATATATATATATATATATATATATATATATATATATATATATATATACACACACACAATATGATGCAACATAAAACAATACATATAGGGGTGAACAACATCAGAAACATTCATAACATCTGATGAAAAAACACAGCTGAGTAAATTGGATAGGATATTATTTCATTGCACATTGTTATAACAGGATAACTACATGTGTATATAAAATAATCATGTATATGGGACACATGTCTGTTGTAATTTAAAACTGCTAGTTTACATGCTGTTAAGTAAAGCACCAGACATTTTTGAAGCATTACTGTATGTGGCCTATGACATGTGCCAGATACTTTTAATCCGAGAGACATCTTCTGCAGGACATGCGTTTCTGCTTTCACTTCTTCACTTTGATGATTCAGAGTTGAATCACTCTATTTTTTCATATATCTGTGAAAAATCCAAAGTATGAAATAACTTTGGAGACTTGAAGATTTTATGCAACATAGTTGCTTTTTTACTAGGCCACATAGTTCAGTTATTGTAAATTAGTCAATAACGCAACTGGAACCCTCTGAATACACCCTCACCTATTCCTTTTGCAATACCATTTACAGAGATATGTTAGAGTATGTTATTACAGGTAATCAGAGTTAACTCTTGGTAGGTTGAGGTTAAAGTTAATCTAAGGACAGATGATTCCACTGTTTTATAAACTTGTGGAAATGATATGTGCACTGATACAGTCGTTACTTCTACTATGACTAGTACTTCGTCATATGGACAGATGGAAACAATTTCAACATCATTAGTGACTGTTATGATCATCACATGCTGACATCATTCTGGACGCTACTTGAAGTTATTTTTGGATATCCTTTGTGAAAGCAGGCATCCAACATTCAAAAATAACTAAAAGGTTTATTTTAAAAATAAGTTTAATAAGGTGATCGGTTCTTTGTTAAATATTTATGAAAACTGATTGAGAGAGATTGTCTCGCCTCAATGTTTCAAAGCTCCAATGTCACAATGTCTTTTAAGATGGTCACTACAGATAGCTACCATTAGTTGCAGAATTGATTTAGAAAACTGCCTAAAACCTATAGATCATTCAGCAATTTTGTATTTTATCTTCAAATGTTAGCAACAAAAAAACGTGAGCATCAAAGTTGAATAGTTGGATGCCATTGAGCAGATGAAGAGATTAGCATGCAAATGGCTGCCATGAATCACTTTCCTAAGCATAGGGTAATTGCCAGTGAATAATACTTATCAAGCTCCATAAGTGCACCTTCCAATAAATACATGGTCCAGGTCATTTGTATTAGGACTGGACGGTTGATGGATATAGGATAACCACTTAACCTTGGAGACATTCCAAGATACCTCCTCAATCATCTCATACATTATGTCTTCTATAACGGCTTGACCAGGTTTTAAGCATAGCACCTCTTAATGCACAATATGTTTTATGTGAAGGATCTAACTCAAGGTGTGTGTGGCCTATCCGTCACTTCGATGAACTGATGACAACACATTCCTGTTCTTTATTTTTAAGGCCTCTTTCAATGTCTTGTCTTTATGTATCACTCCTCACATATTATCACCATTATTTATGGCTTTAATGGTGTGGTATTTATGTTGTATGTCCCTTTAACAAGCTGCTGTTTCATTAGGTCACCTCCATAAAATAATGTGATTCAATGCCACAGACAAATATTAAAGCAACATATTAGTAACATCAAATCACTTGTAGCAAATTTGTTCATGTTTATTTTTTTTGATGGAGAAGCACAGGCCAATAACACATCTTTACGTAACTGGCCCCAAACACTGTCCCAGCTGCTTCTGCAGTGTCCCAAGTAACCAGAGGACATCCAAAGGAGATATACTCAAGATCAACTGTAATCTCATTTGATTTGTAACCTTAGCTTTTCTTAATTTCACTTTTTAAGCAAGACCACTGCAGGCTGCAGTGTCCTACTGTATATAATCCTATAATAGACTAATAAGATACTAAGTTACTGTGATAATAAGTATAAATTTGTAGGTGACAGTTGTCTTTCTCTTGTGACATAACACAGCTAGAAAAAGGGAACCAAATTATGAAATCATGCTTTTGACATTTAGAAAAACAATGTAAAACTAAGTTGATGGTCATGTGCTCCTTGTTGAAGGTTGACTCACATTTTACCAAAAAGACTTGACCCTGACCTTCTCTCACACAATTAACCTGAAAACATGCACTCCAAAAAGCTTCTCAGATGAGATCATTGGAGAGAGATTTTTTTGACTCAGATTTATAATGGTAAAAATGCCTTATCTTTTTGTGATGCTGGCAAAATGTAACTGGGGTTTCTGCCAGAAAAATCAGATGAAAATCAAATGAGACACTAAATGCTCCCTAGAGATGTGAAATCCTTGAGTTTATGTTCATGTCAAGTGCATCTTTCAGCAGCAGCGCTTTATGGAGGAGTTCTTCTCTCAGAAACGCTCACTCACTTAATCTTAAGTGGTATGAGAGGCATGTTCACCGAGGCTTGCACAACATTTGTCTGAGAAATATCTGAGGATTCTGGCTAGCGCTGCTTCCAGCCTGTCAGCAGTGTACCAGGCAACCAATATCAACTAATGTGATGTAACCCTCAAACAGGAACCAGTTTATTTCTGGTATCAGGAAAGAAGAAATATTACATCTTCATTTGTAGTATTTGGTGTTATGTAAGACACACATAATGTCAAATTCAATTTTTTTATCTTTGTACCTGTATCCATTTTAAATTCTGCTTTCTTCTTTCTTTGCATGTCCATTTTGTCGAATTCTGATATTTAAGTTGAACATTGAATAGATGAGTTCATAATGAGAGCAAACATTTGTTAAGGTTTCTTTTCTCTGTGAGTAAGTGTGTTAACTAACTTGTGGCCTTTGAGCTTGTTCACCACACCCTCTGCCCTTGGTCAGTGAAAGGCCAAAGACCCTAATTTCTAAACAATCTCCATTGACTAGAGTGCACAATAATAATTAGTTAATTTGTATAATTTTTAATTTGTGGTTTTGAGGTTGTCATTGTACTTTATTTTTTGAAACCAACAACAGTGGTCGCTACATACCTTTGACTGTAACATTTAATAAGAAAGGACAAATTTGTTCATCTTGAAATCTTATAATTTTATGGCATATAATCATATAAACATAGCATAGATGAACATCAATGACACATCAGTTACATAATGTTTAAGATGCTTCTACTCTTCTTTTAGCTTTAAGAGTAAAATGTCTTAAAGAGAGGTTAAATTTTTTAACAGGTCAACATACAGTGTTAAGTCGTACAAGCTAAAATATAAACAATAGACAATTAGGAGGAAATTTACTTTTTCATTCATATCTGTGACAGTGGTCTTGAATGAGCCAAAACTTTTTTTCCATTTTCTTTTTCCAAACTATCACATTTCACTCACTACAAGAACAAAGCTTCATGACAAGTTGCTAGTAAAGGGCTGATAGCAAGTGCGGTGACTGAGTCTTTGAGCTTCCAGCATCAGCAGAGGTGGGACTGTGGCCATTGGCAGGGTGACCAGGGGTTTTCGATCTTCTCCTGCAATATCACTGTGAGTGCTTTAGTGTAGCAGTTAGTGGTGGAGGTATATACATTGGCTAGCTCTCTGGGTTTCAGTCTAAAAGGATTCAAGAAAGGAAGTGGTCGGGTTTACTTGTACAGTTGTGTTTAGAAGGCAGCAGCGGGGTGGTTACAGACACAGGTAGTTAATGCAGCACCAGAGGACCAGCAGTGACTTCGGTTGATGCTACCTCTCTCTAGATAAATGTTAGGTTCACTTAAGAGTTCTTGGCCACCATTTTCATTGTAATAGTCTTCACTTCTGAGTACTCCTTTAGACCACACTCTCCCCTGAAAAAAACACAAAAAAGCATTTTACATCATGCAAAAAATATTTAGTTGCTTTCTTGTACAATTCTAAGACGGTGAAAATACTCACAATTCACGCCCATTGCCAGACATTTTATATCCTCCAAAAGGACACTGTGTGCTCAAAGCATTAAAACAGTTTATCCTGAAAAAAAGAAAAGATGGACTTCATATAGACAAAATAACTGTAAGACAAAGAAAGAAATTTTATCATTGCAGTGAAAAAAAAAGAAACACAGAAAGAAATCTTGTATTTAACAATTTGATGAGAAAGAATTTGAGTAGTCTTAGAGAACCAAAGTGATTGTGCAGCATCGAGAGAATTGCAGAGTGCTAAAAATCTCTGGCAGATGTTGATGCTATAACTGTACCCAGCTGCAGCTAATTACAAAAGAAACAAAACATTGTGGGTTAAACCTAGATCTAGATGTATTGTTTTATGGCCTTTTTATTTATTCAGAAAATAAAATCATGGTGTCCATTTACAGTTACTGTTTATGTTCTTCATTATTTGCTTTCACCAAGTTTGCTTTATCTTTAACATCTTAGTTGTGGACAAAGAAGTTAAAGGGGAATACATCTCTGTGGTTTATATAATGAAAGTCTAATGGCATGTTTCCAAGCCAAGGTTTTGTGCCAGATCTTAGATAGTGGATATTTCCCATATGAAGGATATGAGTGATTGCAGTTCTTTAACTCACCAGACAGTGCCAGCCTGCATGGCAGTAGATATAGTCA